AGCGCCGCAGCCCGCGGCGCCCGAGGACCCGCCGCGCCCGCGCCCTCCGCGCCCCTCGCCGGTCCCGGTCCCGGTCCCGAGGAATGATGAAGAAGACCAATTCCGCCAAGCGGGTGAGTCGCGCCCGCGCCCGCAGGCCCCCGCCGGCGCCCCTCGGCGGCCGCGCTCGCCCCCGAGCAGCCCTCGCCTCGCCTCGCCTCGCCGCGGCCCCGTCCCCGTCCCCGTCCCGCCGCCCTCGCCCTGCGTCGCGCGGAGCCTCCCTGCGGGCAGCCGGCTTCGTGCGCCGCGCCGCCCCCCGCGCTCCTGCCGGCCGAGGCTGCCCTGCGCGCGTCGGGCGAGGCGGCGACAAAGGCTCGCCGGGGCACCGTGCGACTGCGGCGCCGCATGCCTTCCCGGGCCCGCTCGGGGCTCTCGCAGGCAAGGCGGCGAACGGATCCCCCGCTCGGCATTGTTTTGTTCGCGGAGAGGCGCATCTCGGCGGTGCGCGGAGGCGCCGCGGCCGCTCGCTCTCCTCCCGTGAATCGGGCGCCCCCGGCGCGGCGGATCCCTAATTTTCCGCGTCCGCTGCTTAATGCACATTTGTGGCGGGGGCTCAGAGAAATTGCGGGAGGGCCAGGTTGCGGCTTCGGAAGGGGCGAAGCGGGCGGGGGGCTTTTTGTTTCCTCCAGGCGGCGGGGACGGCAGCGGGTAGCTGGACCCCTCTTCACGGCTGCCGTTCCGTTTCTCTCCCCACCTCCTCCTTTGTGTCTCTGGATCCAGGGCCCCCAGGATGGGAACCAGCAGCCTGCCCAGCCCGAGAAGGTGGGCTGGGTCCGGAAATTCTGTGGGAAAGGCATTTTTCGGGAAATCTGGAAAAACCGCTACGTGGTCCTGAAGGGGGATCAGCTGTACATCTCCGAGAAGGAGGTAGGGTCGCCCCCTTCCCCCCCCCCCCCCCCCGCATCTCCAGCTCGGCAGCCCAGCGGTTTTCACTTGGGTCCTGGAGGGAAGGGGGCTGTGACCAGATGGTGGCTGCTCCCCCCTCCCCCTCCCCCACCCACACAGTCGCTAGCGCAGCGAATCAGAGAGGAAAGGGCCTTATCCCTGGACCCTGCCTGACGCCTCCTGGGGGGGGCACCCCTCATCCAGCAGGGGCTGCCCCCCCCCGCACACGCCTTTCCCAGGGCACCAGCCGAGCCCCTGGCCACACTGGGCATCTCAGCCACTCTCTCCCGGAGCAGACAAAGGGCCCGGTGGGTGACACGGAGGGGGCAAAGGCTCTGCTGATGAGGGGCCCTTTGCTAGCCCCACGGTGCGCATGTGGGGGAGAGACCTGGGTTTGTGCCTGGGGCCAAGTGGCTGGCTTGCCCGGTCCAGCACGAGCTTCCAAAGCAAGCCCGCGCACTCCGGCTGCCGCCCCGGCGGCTCTCGCGAAATGTGGCCCTGCACCTTGAGGACCCGGCGCCTGGGAGAGAGCCCTGTTGCCCTGCCGTGTCTGGGGGAAGAGGGGCGCTGCTGCGGGAGTGGGGAGGGCGGGTCCCGGGACAGGACGGCCCTCCGCCGCCTCCAGGCCAACTGGGCATGTGTTAGGCGTCTCAGCTAGCGGAGCCCATTAGTCCTCCTCCCTGAAGCCGCCGAAGGACTTTTTCTCTAGCCATGGCGGCCAGATGAGTTGGGGGTCAGGTGGCGCCACACGCGGTGGTCGGGGCTCCGATCTGACTGGGGCACCGACCCCCTGAAGCTCCCTGGGGCACCCCTTTGAAGCGAGTTCCGCTCACCCCAGCAGGCCCCGCTTGGATGCAGTGCGCGTGTTCTTTGGGGCGACTGGCAGTTGCCCAGCGGCGTTTCCATATGGCGAGCGGGAGCATCCGGGCCGTGTGTGTGTGTGTGTGTGGGGGGGAGTTTCGCACACTCACTTTGCGAAATGCGTGTTTATCAAGGTGGGGCCGTGCCAAGCACCAAAAGAAAGCTGGGACATCTCCTCTCTGAATTCTCCGGCGTTGTCATCCTGGAAGGAGGGGAGCCCAGAGCAATACACTGTGTGTTGTTTTTGAGCGACTCCCACGGGTTGTTTCCTCATTTGACCCCCCCCCCCCCACAACCTCATGGTGATGGGGCCAAGCGTGAAAGATGGAAGCCCGTGAGATGCATGGCTAGCCTCAGAGCAGAAGCCTTTCCTTCGCTGTCCTGATCGCTGCCCCGAACACAGCGGCGTGTTGCTCTCGCTCGTCGCGGTGCCTTTGAGGTCCTCATTGGCGTGCATCTGATTTTTCCAATGGCCACTTTCTGAGGAGGGGCTGGCCGGGCTTGCGCGCTGCACCCAAAACCTTCATTCCTGATTGCCAGGAAGTAGCTGCTGTTTCGTGGAGGACACTGAAAAGCAGGCAGGCGACTCCTTCCTAAAGAGAGGTGCTTTGGCTGGTTTTGCTGGCCAGAAGGTGCTGTTTTCCCAAGCCCGGATTTGGGGGGAGTTTCCTGTGCCCAGAAGTGCCTTCTTCCATTTCGCACTGGTTTTGCTTATGCAGCTCCATGACAAGTGCACCATGAACAGGTCCCTCATAATTGTGGACTCTCGATTTACACTAGACTGTGGCTGTGAGCAAGAAGACAGAGGTTGTGGGGGGGGGCGTGTTTGAGGACAAAGCCAGATGATGGAGGTTAATCGGTGCCAACTTATGTATTTACTCTGCTTTTCAGCCATCCAATGGCCAAGATCTTTGGGTAGTATAGATACATCTAAGGTGCTATACATTGTAAGTTGGCCATGAAAAGCAGTCTGTAGTAAAACCAAGATCATATCAGCATTAAAGAGCAAAAGAGGCACCGGCTCCAAGCAGGAATAAAAGGCCACTGGTCCAAAAGCACCGTCGCTTGCCCTAGTCCTTAAAATGCCTGCGAGCAGGAAGAGGGCTTTCCTGGGTGGCCTGCAGGCTGTAGTGGAGGTGCCAGGGGAGCTTCTCTGTGAAGGGTGCTCCACATTCGGGTGCTTCCACCGGAAAGGTGCCCGCCTCACCTCCTTTGGCAGGGGCGCTTGCACGAGGGCCTTGGGTGCTGAGCTTTGCAGCTGGGTAGCGGGAAGAGAGGTAAACGGATAGACGAGGCTTTGTTTCAGTTCGGGATGGGGCCAAGGTCTTCGCGGGAGAAGCGACCTGGCCTTTGAGAAACGGCATTTAATTACAGTGAAACTGAGCGGGTGCTTGTCTGGTGGGAAACAAAGGCATTAGAAATGCACGGAGGGCTACACAGCTGGTGTCCAGTTACAGGACACTGGATACACCGGACGGGTGGCGTGACGGGCAGCGGCGAGGCTTCGGGCTTCCTTCGCACGCACACGCAAAATGTGTCGCCTTAAATCAGCTGCTCAGCTGCATTGTTCCAGCACCCTGGCCTGCATGGCCGCCGTCTGCAGCCAGCAGGGATGAGGGGAGTTGTAGTCCGACATGCCGGGCGTTCTTGTGAGAAAATAGGATGAGAGGTGCGTCCCTTTCCAGCGGAGGGACAGACTGGGGAGCGCACTTTGCGGCTGATGCGGAGGCAGCCCCACAAGCGCGTGACTCGCACCGGTGGCAGAGGGGCTCTTCCCAGGTGGCCCTTGCCAGTCACGTCCACACACCACGGGCAGCCCTGGCAGTTTTAGCCGTGTGTGGATGGACGCAGGTGGGGTCACCGGCGGCATGCGGGTGCCACGCTTTCTTGGGCTGGCTGACTTGCTGGAAGGAGGAGGCGTTTCCCGGCCCACGGGTTTTGTGGCTGGCAGCGAGCCAGTCCCCACCTCTGCCCTTTGCCGGCAGTGTGGGGAGACACCTCTCGCAGTTCTGCTCCCCTTGTGGAGTTGCACGTCTGCGGAGAAGAGCCGGGGAGGCAGCCTGGCTTGTGGGGGGCAGAGGCTGGCCTCCTCCTTGGCGATGCGTCAGCCCTCCCCACACCCCGTGATGCCACCCCCATCTGCCTGAGGCCGTGGCTTCGCCCTGTGCTCGGCCCCCTGGCGATCTTGCATTCTGCAGGACAGAAAATCCACACGGGCCTCAAGGGGAGCGTTGCATAAGAAATACGCACTTACACTCCTTTATGTGCGCACCTATCAAGTAAATAAATGTTAGCCAGTGCGAGCGGCACCGGCCTGGTTCTTCCTGGGCCCGTCGCCTGCTCCCTGCTCCTGGGCTCTAGTGGCTGCATGCGTGTTCCACCGCCTGCTTCTCCAGGCCGCCTCTTCACTTTTCCTGCGTGGGGCTTGCCGCGCGAGGGCTCTGAACGGCTGCACCTGTGCTGAGGGCGGGTGCTGGAGCCGGTGGCCAGGAGCGTGCTGGGCGGGGGGCCCTCCTGCACACGCACACGCCTCCCCCAAGCTCTTCCGCATCCTGACTTTGCTTCCGTTCAGCTGGGGGTTGTCCAGGATAAAAATAATTTCAGAACTGCTTGCCAGGCAACCCAAACTAAGAAAAGCTGGCTCTTTGACCCATATTAATCATGCGGACGATTTGCATATTTATTCTGATTTTGCATGAGCATTTCTGCGTCTTGTGCTGTCTGCCTTCTGGTAGGTCAGCAGGCTTTGCCGGAAGATCGGCTTGCCTTCCTTTAAACCCTGAGGGCTAGAGACCTGCGAGGGGAGGAATTAAGCTGGAGAGCCCTGTGGGGTCACAGACTTGCTCCAGCTCTCTTTTTTCCTGCAGTGGCCACCCAAGTACTGCCAAGTTGGCCATAAACAGGGAGTTGAAGCCAACGGCCGGCCTTGTTTGCCCTCGCTGGCCGCAATTTGGCAGCGTTGCCTGTCAGCTGGAGGGCCCGTTAAACTGTCATGAGGAGCACTCACAAAAAAATCCCCCCTCCCCCCCATGAATTTGTCTGGTTCCATTTAGAGACCACCTTGGCTGGGGGGCAGCCGCCACCGCTGGTGGCAGTAAAGTCACTGGGCCAGGTTCACCAGATGGGCACCTGGGACTCACGTGATCTTGATGGTCGACCTGGAACTGATTCTTATCACCAGACTGTTCCAAGCGCCCATGAACTCGCCGTCCTTTCCCCAAATCTTGGGAGCGCTTGAGGGATCTTGGAGGGAGTGGTTTGCCCCATCTGGAGAGAATGCCAGGCCAGACGGGCCTGCGGCCCCTTTCCTCCGTTCGTGGCCCTCGCTGTGAAGTGTGCACCATTTCTGGAGGGCGTAATTCTCTTGCCACCCCAGTTCACCCCTTGTGCCAAACTCTAGTGCTGTGCTAAAATGCACTGCGGGGGGTTGGATTAGCGCCCGGGGAGCAAGCCCCCGTGCGCATGGATGCGCCGAAGATGACCCCCACCAAGGGCTGGAATGTTCTGCTCCCGGCTCCAAGGACACCAGGCAGGCGTTCGCACGCGTCCCGTGGTTTTCCCTTTGCGGGCATAAAATGGGTGCATCAGAAGCGCTCGTGCTTGAAACACTGTTTGGACCTTTCGGCGCACGGAAACATTCCGCTGGGAAACGCGGCCTCAGTCCGCCTCTCTTCACGCACGGTGGTGCAGAGGCGGCAGCATGTGCTCCCTCCCACCAGATCGATGCCTAAGAGACATGGAGCCGGCCAGCTCTGTGCACGCGCTGCGTTCGGTTGGCCTGGTGCGAACGGCAATCGATGTTTCCCCCCCCCGCCGCCCCACCCTGCTCTCTGCAATGGAGAAAATGCCTTTTGACTGCCCAGCAGCAGGAACGGGGGGATTCCACTGCCTGTCCTGCACACTCTTGGCTCCCACGAGCCCCGAGAATTTGTTGGGAAAGACGGAGGACGAGCCGGTCCCTTGGGCTGCAGTCAGGCGTGGCGTTGAAGAGCGTGCCTTGCGTCCCGAGGCCTGTCCAGCCGGAGGTTCGTTCCTCCTGCCCAGCTTTCATTGGAGTGAATGTTTGTTGTGTGTGTGTGTGGGGGGGGGAGTTTGGTATCCAAACGCTTCCCCCCTTTTGTTCTTTGCCCCACTTTTCTTCTAGCCATCTGCCTCTTTTGTCTATCCCCACCTGGCTTCCTTGCTTTTTTCTTGCCAAAGTTCCACGAAAACCAATAGGAAAAGGTGCACAAAGGAAATAAACAAAACCAAGGCAGGAACAACAAACCACACAGTAACAAGAAGATCCACAAAGAAAGCTGAGCTGAGGAACCACCAAAGGAAATTGGGGAAGAACGCTCAGCGCTGGCAGCCCTTTCTGCCGCTCTGAAATTTGACGTGGGTCCATTGAAGGACCTTTCTGTTGCTCCGGCGTGGGGTGGAAAAGAGCGTGCAAGAGAGGTGTGGGCAGAGATGTGGCCCAGGCCGGGGCTGTGGCAGGAGAGCACCGGACGACTGGCCGGCTGATGGGGGCATCTGGCACAGTTCTGCTCTCGCTCGCACCAAGGACCTCCATCTGTGCACTGCAAAACACCTCTTTGCATCTATCTGCAAAGTAGGTCACATGTGATCGTTGAGTGATCGGCTGGAGCTGGTCTAGCAGGATCCAAATGTTTGGGTTTGACAGGCTTCTCCATCGGACCAGATCGGAAATTAGCAAGATTTGCTGTTTACGAAGGTGGCCCTCTTTGCATCCTGCCAGACGAAGAGTGTTGTGAAACTTGGAAGACCTCATGTGCTGATGCGCCTCAAAAGCTGGGCGATGTCCTGTAAAAAAATGACAGTCTTCCAGGGACGCAGCTTTCATTGCCCCCAGATGTCTTCCATGCCCACTTCAGACTGGGTTCCAGGTCTTTCCCCCAGAATCGGGACTCCTTTGTGCCAGGGCTTAATGTCATTTGGCTAATCTCTTCTCTCGAGGCAACAGAGCTTAGCAACAAGGATGTCGCATGTTTCACATGTTGCAAATCCAGCAGGGGCTGCGTGCCTTGAGCTGTTGCAATGAGCCGGCCGTGCGGCATGCGGCTGAGATCAGGTCCGGTCAAAAGTAGAGCACACACTTGATCTTCCTCCTTTCCAAAATGCACCCGGAGATAAAATCGCGGTTTCGGCTGCACTCTGAGCACTCCGGCTGCTCCTCTTTTGGAGTCCTCAGCAGGAACATGAAAGATCAGATGCAGATCCACGTTTCAGAGCAGCTGCTTCGTGCTGTGGCTATTGGGGTCAGCGTGAGACACGGATCCAGCCCACGTGGCCTTGTCCACCAGGCGGCTCTTCTGTGTGAGTCCCGCTGAGCTGGCCTGGCCTGCCCGGTGCAGCTCCCAGCCGCTTCTGTGCAGAGGCAAATGGCCAATTGATTATTTGTTACAGCCAGTAGATTGGCCCCATGTTCCAATTAGTCCGGAAGGTCGTCATTTAGATTGCCTGCCATGGGCATGAGAGCTCTTTAGATCAGTTGTGCGCCTCGTCCTTCTCGTCCTTACTATCCTTATGATGACAACTTTTGCAGAAAAAGACTCGAAGGCCTGCACAGCTGAGATTTAAATAGCCATGAAACAACAATCGGGTTCCACATGCAGTAGCCAATTGGACGCTGCCTTATGCCCAGGGAGCAGAGGAGACCTGAGCCTTGCCGGGAGAACGCGCTGCAGCCGGGGGCCCAGCAGAAGGGCGCCTTCCCTGCAGGCTTTGCATTTTTAACGATGCTGGGACTAACGGGCGTGCCAGCGCAGGTTGCCCTGGGCTTGGCCTTCACCCCTGAAGCTTCGGGGATGTGGGCAGCCCTGCATGCCAGCCGTCCCCAGACCAGTACGCTCCAGTTGAGTCAGGCTGCGACTCCTAGCATGGGCTGTTCCGGCTGGGGATGCTGGGAACTGAGGGCTGGCGCAGCAGGCGGGCACCAGCTGGACGGGGAGGCAGCAGCTCGATGCACGGTGCCAGGCGTAAGAGCTCAGGGTTGGAGCAGGACCCCTCCAGCCCTTTCTGTTCACGGAGTGGCTGGCCGGCGGGCTGAGGGTCCCTCTGGCAGGGCCTGGGTGCAGCGACCCCGCCTGCCCCTGCTCCCCAGCACCTGCTGTGCGCAGGTACGCTGCCCCGGATTCCAGGGATGACTGGAAGGCAATCGCCCCCCTCCCCCCCGGGGCTGTTGTCCCTTTAACAGGCGCAGCGGGAGGAGGTCTTTGGATTGGCGGGGGGAGCCGCCTGGCTGAGTGGGGCAGAGTGGGCAATGCTGCTCGGCTGAGTGCGATTATAGCAGGGATTCCCAACCCCCCTGTTGGTGCGGTTGGCTCATTCTTCTGGGAAGGGGGTTGCCAACAATGCAATTCCTGCAGGAAATACAAGCCACGCTTTACTTGCAGGAGAAGGAGAAATTTGACTTGCTGGCTGGACTGCTGTAATATGCTGTGCATGGGGCTGCCCTTGAAGACGGTCGGGGTACTTCCGTTAGTCCAGAACAGAACGGCCAGACTTGTGATGGGGGCTGGTCGATGTGCGCACATAACGCTGGTCCTATACCATCTGCGCTGGTTACCAGTTGAAGTCCGGGTCCAATTTAAGGTGTTAAAGATAACCTATAAAGCCCTAAATGGTTTAGGACCTGGCTAGCTGGAGCATCTCCCTCCACGCCTTAAGATCTGGGCCAGAGGTCCCTCTTTGGAGCCCTCCTGGACAGAGATCCTGAGAGTGGCTGCCCAGAGAAGGGCCTTTTATGCAGCGGCTCCCTGGCGTTGCAGCCTGCGACCCAGAGATGTGTGCCTGGTGCCGATGCGTCATTTATTTCAGTGCCTGGCCAAACCCTTTTTATTTTCCCGGCATCTAAGACTTGATTGAGACTTTAATATTGGTTTTATTAGATACGCACTTCGCTGTATCTGTCTCTTTGTTTTGTTCTGTATCGCTGTTCTGAGATTCCTGTAAAGGATGGGATAAAAATGGTTTAAACCAATCAATAAATAGTTCTTGCGTTTGCAGAGATGCTAGCAATGGAGGAGGACCCTCCAAGGGGGTCGCCAGCCCCTGTTGTGATTCTGCACTTGTGGTACTTGCATTCCCAGCTTAGGGCAGCCTTCCCCCCCTGCTGCTGTAATTCAGATATTTTGGACTCCATCACCCATCAGCCCCAGCCAGCACGGCCCATGTCAGGAATGTTGGGAGCCATAGAAAGTTTCCAGGGAGCCACAGGGGGAAAGCTGCCACCCAGCCCATCTGCCCGTCTTTTGAAGCGAGACCTTTGGGCCAGCTCCCCTGCTGCAGCTCCCCACAAAGAATCTTGGGGGCGGCACCTTGTGAGGGTGCTCTGAACTCTTAACATGGGCAGGAACCCACTGGAAAAAGCTGTATTTCGCATTTCAATATCAGGGCCTGGAGAGGGAGCAAACACGCTGTCCGTGCAGCTCTGGGCCTGCCAGGGAGCCCTATGCCAGGGGCTGCACTCGGGTGGACGGACCCCACCGCCACGGGGGAGTGGGATCCCATGTCCTTGGCCCCCGTACAGAACTACAGCTCCCAGGAGGCTTTGCAGCCTGGTGAAGTGGGAGGCTGTGCGATGGAACCCTGCAGGAGCCAGAGCCGTTAGCTGAAAGCCGCTTTGCGTGGATCCCCTCTGTCCTGCAGGTGAAAGACGAGAAGAACTTCCAGGAGGTGTTTGACTTGAATGACTACGAGAAGTGCGAAGAGCTCAGGAAATCGAAAAGCAGAAGCAAAAAGAACTACAGCAAGTTCTCCCTCACTCACTCCAAGGAGCCTGGAAACACGGTGGGGCCCCCTCTCCCTCCCTGCCCCCCTCCGTGGCACTGGTGCACCACTGGCCTCGGCCTCGGTGGGGCAGCCCCCAGGCCCTGCGCCTCCCCCCCGAGGCCCGTTGAGGGGTGCGCCCCCTGGCCCGGTGGCATGTGCTCGGCTCGCAGAGGGTGCCGTTCGAGGCTTCCCGGTGGCCCAAGTCCAGATCACCTCGGGCAGCAGGTGGGAAGAGACTCCCGCCCTGCCCGATGGAGCCATGTCGCCCGTGCATAATCCACGCCCCCCTTACTCAGGTCAGTTGGACCTCAGTCTTGTCTACCAAAGTGGGGTTCCCACGAGCAGGTGCCTCCCGATTCTTGTTGCCTTTGAAGCGATGGGCTTGTCTAATTAGCACTTTATCGCCAGTCACGCACCTTGAGCCTGGTGGAAAAGCGAAGGTCGGGCAGACTTCCTTCCGTCCTCGTGTGATGCAGGGTACCTGCCGGCTGTGGTCGGACAGAGCCGTGCAGCGTAGCGGGCCGCATCTTCCGGCCTGTTGGGAGCACGCCCTCGTTTCACGCGGCCCGAAGCCGTGAGATCCCGTTGCCCGTTCGCCAAGGACTGCTCTGGGTGTGTGCGAAAGAGCGGGCCCTCTGCCGCCACCGCAGGGCCTGGCCCCCGACGCAGCTGGACAGCCGTTCCCCCTCCGAAGCCTGAGGCTGCCGAGGGCTCGTGCGAGCGACGCAGGTGGACAGGCAGCCCCACCTGGGCGGCTGATGCGGTCCTTCTCTTGCAGGCCCCCAACCTTGTCTTCCTGGCTGTGAGTCCCGAAGAGAAGGAGTCTTGGATCAATGCGCTCAACTCTGCCATTACCCGGGCCAAAAACCGCATCCTGGATGAGGTGAGAAGAGTCTCCGGGGTCTCCTGCCCACGGCACACAGTCGGCAGGGCTGTGCCGTGGGGTCTTGCCCTCCCAGCAGCCGCGAGGGGCGGCCACAACAGTCACACCAGCTGCCCTTGCAGGATGAGTCTATGGGGCGCTGCTCCAGTGAGAGAAAACTCTGTGCCCTCTGAGGCACGTGGCGAAGCGCTCCCCAGGTCCCGCAGCCGGGTCCTTTTGCTTCCAGCCACCCATGCGTCTGTAAAGAGTGGCCATCCCTCCAAAAGGAGCTTTAGGCAGTGGGAGGGAATTAACGAACGGCGATTTTAGAAAGACAGATGCACTGAGACTGCCGTCTGCCGTCCTCCACCATCTCTCCCCCTTTCGAGGCAGGCTGCACGAGGGCGCCTGGGCTCTGCCACTCCGCTCCCTCGGCGCCAGCAGCGGGCCCCTTCGTTCGCCTCCTGCCGGGCCCTGTGTTCCTACAGGGCCTCCAAGGCAGCCCGCATGAAATACTCCCGAGCTGGGGGACTGCCTCTGCCCCTCCCCGTCGGGCTTCGGATGCTCTTTCCGTGCTGTGGAGGCAGAGGGCTGCCGAAAAGCGGCAGTGGGGCGTTCCTCACTGTGGGCCGGGGCTTGCTCGCCCGGAAGCCATGACGGCAGCTGGAGGCTGCTGGGCGGCCCCTCGGATCAGACGGCGGCTGTTATGGGGCACGTCCCCCTGAAGGGGCAGCGTCGTGGCACGGCGGTTTTCCTCCTGACTCCAGTTGGGGGCCATCCAGGCCCCGCTCTGGCCCAGTGGCCCAGCTTGAGTCGCCACTGCTCTGGGCACCCCCATGTTCGGCCCATCTTCCCATTCCTGAAGGCTGCCCTGCCGCCTCCCACCGCAGACCTTCTGGCTGCTGGAACTGGGCCCTGAAGAGCTTCCTGGACCAAGAATTTGGCCCTTGGGCACAGAGCCGGTGGCCTGGGAAGGTGGCACCCTTATTTTGTCCCCCAAAACCCATTCCCAGGCAAAAGCAGCAGGCGGGGCGCGATGGCACTCGGCTTCGACGAGGAAAGGGGTGCAGAGTGTCAGGCGGGTTTGCCTGCAGCCGACTTCCGAGTCGAGCTTTTCTCCGGAGGGTTCGTAGCCTCGCACACGGCGAGCGGGGCCAGCGGAGGAGGCCTCCCCACACACCCAAGGAGCACTGCCGGACTGTTGTGAGAGATGAGCACGCCAGCGAGTCTGAAGACGAGCGGAGGGAGGAAAGCCGGCATCGGTGGGGAGCCTGTTATCCAGGATGGCTTACCAAGCCGGCTCTGCCGCCTGCGCCAGGCGTGTCGCGAGCGTCTAGCTGCGGTGGCTGACGGTGCGCTCGCCTTGCCTTTCAGGTTACTGTCGAGGAGGAGAGTTGTCTTGCTCACCCAACTCGCGACCGAGCAAAGATCCAGCACTCCCGGAGGCCTCCGACCAGGGGCCACTTGATGGCCGTGGTACGTAGGCCAAGAGCAGCGGCCCCCGGTCTGCTCCTGGGGCAAGTTCGGGACGGGTTGTGGGAAGGAGGCGCGAGCACGCACCCTGTTGCCCCGTCTGCAGCTGGGCTGGATGCCCAAGCCCTCGCAGACTGCGGCTCCGAGTCACGGACGCTCTCGGCAAGGCCTCTGTGGGCCAGAACCAGATTCTGCAGCTTCCCCAGTTCCTGGCCCCTGCCTGTCCTTCTCGGCACCTTGCGGAGCACCTGTGGCGGGGCCTCCACCTCCGCCTTCACGCCTCTCGCAGAAGCCGGCTTGGGTCTTCCTGGCACCTGCAGTCCCAGTAGGTCTTGAGTGCTCTTAGCTGCCTCAAAACCTAACCTGGATTTTCCCAGGATGTCGCCTGCAAAAATATGAATTAATTACACCCAGTTAATTGGCTCAATTAATTACATTCACACCCTGCCCTTCCTCCTCAGGGTGCTGTAAGTGGGTTTCCCCCACATTTTATCCTCAGAGCATCCCTTTGAGAGAGGCGGGGGGGGGAGGGAGCACACTGGCGAGAGGTCACACTGTTGGGGTCTCCCAGTCATCTTTTGCCACTCGGTCCAGTAAAACCACCCTGGTGCTGGGAACGATTGATGGCAAAAGGAGAGGGGGACGGCCGAGGATGCGGTGGCCAGATGGAGTCACTGGGGTGGTGGGTGTGGGTTTGGGTGGACTCCCAGGGATGGTGGAGGACAGGAGGGCCTGGAGGAAGGTTGTGCGTGGGGTCGCGATGGGTCGGGCTTAACTTTGCGACTAACAACAGCAACCACCAGGAAAGCCGCGCTGGCTCCGGCTAACACATTCCCCTCAGTTCCTGAGCCCACAAGTGCTGGAATCCTCATTGTGTCAGATCCACTGAAGCGCCATTTCCTGCTCTCTGGGCATCCTTTTCTTCTCTTCAGCCTAATTCCTGATTCTCGTGGGGGAGCGACGGGCACGCAGAGCGGGGTGCGTTGGGAGAGGGGTGGCTGCAGGTCCCGCATGTATCCTGGCGTGGTTCCCCGTAAGGCAGCCCGTTCCTTCTCGTCCCGTGTGCTGCAGGCATCTACCTCAACGTCAGACGGGATGCTGACGCTTGACTTGATCCAGGAGGAGGACGGCTCTCCGGAAGACCACGGCACCTGTGAAGAGAGCTTCCGGGTGGACCTGGATAAATCCGTAGCCCATCTCACTGCTGGGAGACGGCGTTCTGATTCGGAGAACACGAGGCCGCCGGAGAAGACCCGGACGAACAGCCTCCCGCGGCGGGAGATCGCCTCTTGGGACAGGTTCTCGCAGCGCAACGATTCCGTTGAGCGGGGGCCCGTGTACACTCCCCAGGTTCCGAAGAAGCTGTCCCACTCGGAAAAGAGCAAGTGCGCCTCCATGGAGGAGATACTGTCTTGCCGGGACTCCTCGTCGGCGCACCGGGCCGTGCTGCGGAAGGGCCTGGAGGAGCGCTTTGCTGCGGCAGAGCCCGCGCGGCTGGCGCGGATACAGGAACTGGTTGCGCTGAAACTTGAAAAGACGCAGGAACTACTGACCGAGGTGAGGGGCTACGCGGAGGGGCAGCGAAGGGCCCCGGAGCCGAGCGCCTCCGCCACCTCCTCGTCCTCCCCGCCCGCCTTGCCTTCGCCCAAGCTGGACTCGGAGGCCATCCTGCAGGAGACGGAGCGGCTGCTGGGAGAGGCCTCCTCCCACTGGAGCCAGGCGCAGAAGGTGCTGCAGGAGGTCAAAGAACTGAGGGGCTTGTACAAGCAGCTGGAGCTGCAGCTCTCGGACCCGAAATGCAAACCGGACACGCAGTCCCAGCACCGGCGGAGTATGATGTGACGGCCCGGTGGGACGGGGGCACGAGGCGGCCGGGAAGAGGGCACAGGAGTGGGCGGGTATGTCTGTTTTTAATTTTGGGGCTCGATGCAGACGAGGTGCCTGGAGGGCGCTCCAGTCCTGCCTCTTTGCGAGCCCAGGTTCCTTCCTGCTCGTTTCCTTCCTCCGGCCCTTCCTGCCTTCCTGCTCTTGCCCTCCCTGGCCCCAGATAAGCACATTCCAGTAAATCACTTTGTATGCATCCTGAGTTTGATTTTGAAATCTTTCTCCCACCCCCAGTACCTTTTCCCTCTTAAAGGGTACCAAGTCATAGCGGCTCTCCTGGAACTTTTCAACAGCCAGGGGATTTTGGATTATTGGTTTTGTCGGTTTCTGGGAGGGCCCCTGTAATGTCAGCACATAATTGGTCAGAATTCCCCCTCCCTGGGAATCTCTGTCATTTTCACGTGGACCCTGGGCAGGGAGATGGAGCAGAGTTGAGCACTCCAGTGGCTTCCTCTGGCCCCAGAAGGCCCGGAAGATTTAGGCTGGCTCCTGGGCTCAGAATGCGTCTTTCCTCCTGTGCTGCAGCAGCTTGCTTGGCCGCGTCCCTCCCCTTCCCTCCGTGTTTGATCTCGCCCTCACAACTCCGTGTGTTGATTGTTGGCTCTCTGAGCCGCACTGCTGTGTGAGGGGGCTGTCCCCCCACCCACAGCTGCCATCTTGGTCCAAGTCCAACTTCTGCCTCAAAGGCAGCCTTGCAGGCTTAAACTGTGCAGAGAGCCTGCACTTCAGCATCCATGATGTGGTCACAGAAGCCAAGCCGCCTCTGTAGCTTAGCTCAAGTCGGCGCTCGTTTGCATGAATCGAGGAAGCAGGTTCTGCGCCACCTGCCCTCGCCCTGCCGGAATGGGGAGGCCTTGGCTCAAAGGCCCAGCAGCCCCAAGGGCCGACCTTGGCGCACAGCCAGCCATCACGCGAGGCCGCTGGGGTTGACGGCCTCGTTCACACGCACGTTCCGCCCCGCCTCTTGCAAGACCGTGTCTTACCTTTGGCAGGATGCACGAAGCGCTCGGAAGGAGACCCTGTGGATCAGGATTCTGCAGCTCCCCCGTGGGCACGTCTGTCCTTCTCACGATGCCGGGCTTCCATGGGTCTTCCGGCACGTCGTTCTTGCCCATGAGCACCCCGTGCCAGCCCTAATGGCTGCTTCCCCGGCCAGTGCGGGTCACCTGAGGGTGGAGCCCCGGCAAGCAGGTGCTGACCACCGATCGGCTCTCGGGTGTCTCTGCCGCGCTCAGGCCCCCCTGGGCTTGGCTCAGCTTTCCTGCTCGGTGCAACCGGATACGGAGAGGAAAAGCATCGCCGTGTTGCCTTCCCTGGCCTGCACGATGGTTTCCTCCGCGTGGCCCCATCCTCTCGAGCTTGCGGGGAGAACGGCTTGCGTGGCCAGACTGTCCTGCCGAGCGCACTTGCTGCATGGGGGGCTTGGGGGGGGGGGGCTTCGCCTCCCTTGCCTGACCCAAGCGTGGGATTCTGTACACTTTCCGAGGGAAGTGTTTTGAGAGGAGCAGAGATGTGCTGGCTGTTTGCTTGTCACTGTTCGGCAGCTGCCACAAACCCACTTCCTTTCCCTGCATTGAAGTCCCCTTGACCTCGTGACCAAAGGGATGAAAAGAAGCTTGCACCACTGAAAACGGGCACAGCTAAGACTCTGTATCCGAATCTGCCTGAGGAAACGCAGGACTTCTCCCGCAAGTACCAAGGCAGCAAATATCTGGTTTGCAGTACTGGAAGAATTCTACTTTTTAAGTCTTGCTTGTGGGACACCCTGTGTTAAGCTGCAAGTCCTGCAATGTGAAGCTCTGATTTCAAGTTGGCCCTACCTTTGTCCACGGCCAACCACTGATCCTGCTTGGCTCGAGACTGTTTGCCTAGGTGTAAAAGGTTCCCTTGGATGCGTGGGATGGATTCTGCAGGGTCTTCAGCGGTGCGGTTGCTCCTTCCTTTCAGCGCTTGCTCATGCTTTCCCTTCTCCAGAGCTGTGGCGAAGCTGTCACTCCCATCACGCTCAATGTCACGGGACACCCACTCCCATCACGCTCGACGTCACGGGACGCCCACTCCCATCATCTCCCATGCCGGCAGGGCCCGGCAGCAGCTGCAGTGGAACCTCTGGGGGGCAGGAGATGCGTGCTCCCCGTCTCGGGCGGGCCACAGGGGCTGGGCCAGAAGGTCGCTGGCCCAGGTTGGCCGGGGCTGCCCTCCCGCGCAGGTCCAGCAAGCCTGGCGAAGCGGAGAGCGCCATGAAGCCGCTGCAGGTGTCTGTCCCGGAGGCCCTTCCACTGCCGAGCCTCCGCCTGCGAAACCCCCGCGGGAGCAGACGTGAAGACCCCCTCCCGTGTGTGACGCGCGCCCGCTTGGGCCGAAGGCTGCACAGGCACGCAGCGCGCCCCGCTCTTCTCTGAGCAGCGGGCTGGTCTGGGATGATGGACGGCACACGGCAGCCAGCGATCGTTGCCTCTGGAGGGGTGCGCAGAGGCCGGACGTCCTCTCCCGAGAGCATCTTTCTGGAAAAGCCTGCGTGGAAAAGACGTGGCCGCAGCTTTCACGGCTGTGACCACTGCTGACTTGCCCCTGCACTCTCTCACACAGCCTCAAGCTTGCGGCCCCTCTGGGAGGCATCTCACGGCTGGGAGCCGCCCGTTTTTCTTCCCCCCTTCTGCATGTTGCGCAGCAGTGAGCCTCGTCCCTTCGTTCGTCGGCCTTTGCAGACTCGGGATGTCCAGCCTCTCCTTGGAGACGTGGCTTCGGTGCGTTTCTCCTCCCTGCTAGAGACTTTCAGCCGAATTCCTTCCAACCTGCTAGGCGATGGCTCCCCCCGCACCCGGATTGCTGTGAGCCCTCGTGCCTCTGCCCAGTCCAGCCGGCTCCTTGACCTGGGTCCCCAAACGCCAGCCCCGGAAGCCACCTCTGGCCACCCCTGCCAGGTGCGTCTCTGCGTGCCCTCAGAGCAGCGGGGGGCCGGCCGAGGCCTTCGCGACCAGGGACAGCCGCCCTGCTGGACATGATGGCCCCCGGCCTGCAAACCGCGGCAAGCGGATTCTGGGACACCATGCCGGTGGCTTCGGTCAGCGCCAAGATGCTGTGAGCTCGCGGAAAGGAGCGCCCTGCTGGACCGCGACGCCAGCTCACCCAGGCGCCATGGCCCTGGCGTGTGCGCACACACAGTTGGGGAAGTGCGGTGTGAGCCCCTCTGGGAACGGGAACACGGCTCGGGTGTCGAGAGGAGAGGAAGCGGGGCCTCGCAACACGTGTTCCAGCTGCCTCCCCGCCGGCCACGTTTGGCGAGGGAAGGGCTTCCGCCCACGAGCAGCCGGGAGAGCTCAGCGCGGCTCGCTGCTTGAGCTGAGCCGATGGGCAGAGGCCGGCCGGCTGGCCCACCCTCTCCTGCTGGGTCAGGCGCTCCCGATCCCGGCAGGAGGCGCCAGTCCTGAGAAGAGGATGGCTCACATCGCTTTGTCTCGGCACGGGGGCCTGGCCAGCCCCGGAGCAGAACAGCCCCGTCCGCTTGCCACCATTGCGCTTCAGTGCACGTGGGCACAGCACGGGGCTTTCCCCGAACCATTTGGGGGACGGTGTGGGCATCGTTGCGGCCTGGAGGGAGTACCAAGGCCAACCATCCCTTCAGACAGGTGTCTTTCTCCTCTTCGGGTTGGTGGGCACATTTGAGCTCCTGAAAGGGTGTTGTGGCCACCCTCAAACGGCTGGCAAAGTGTGGGGCTTGCCGTGAGAGGCGTGGTGGGTGACCGAACACTCATTTCCCACAAGACGAGCTGCTGAATCCAGAAGAAAACTGATGCATCCAACGAGCAAAGCGCAAGGCAGGGCTGGGATCTGAGCTTTAAACACGGACGCTCTCTCTGCAACCCAAATGCTTAAGGGCAGGCTTCTGCTTTGTAGAGCAGCCACCTCCCGGTTGAGATAGTGGTGATAATTTTACGTTGAGAAATCAAATAAACATCAGGATGGGTAGAAAGGCTGGCAAGTGCCGAAGCAGAAGTCAGCGGGTCCCCACAGCACCACGCAGGAGACCGGGGGCAACGCAAGCAAGACCACGGGCTTGACGCGAGGTGGTTGAAGCCCCATCGGCGACGGGCTGGACACACACATGGTGGGCATGTCATAAGCAGAGCCGGCTGGAGCAGGGTCAGACTAGATGGCCTGGGAGGCCCCGCCTGACTCGCTCTGATTCCGTGTTTCTGTGACCCAAGGTCCAAAGCCCAGTCCTGTGACGTGTGTCATCCCTGTTGTGCCTAAATGTAGGTCTTCGCAGCTGCCCCAGTAAGATTTGTGGCTCGCTGGCTTTGCACGAAGGGCGCTTGCGGCTGACGGGCTTCTCCTCTGCCAGGTTCTGGTAAATGTGGAAACTGAAAACAGAACCGTTAAGAAAGAAAAGGCCAGGAAAGGAACCCTCCGAGCTCGTTGCAGCTTTGGAAACTTCAGTATATGGTCTTGTTGAGAGAAAAGTAAGCTGCCCTGGTGTGTAAAAAACAAAAAGGAAGGATCCAGGTTTGTCTTTCTGATGTTTGGTGCTGGAGAAACCTCAAACCGACGAGGCTTGTCAAGGGCCTTGCTTTCTAGAGGCCTCACACAGGAAGCGAATCAGAGGTTGTGCTGGGCTCACGCTGAGGGCCAGACGGGGCAGATGGCTGCAGAGGGTCTTTCTTTTGTGGCGGGAGCTTCGGCCTCAGAGACGGATGTGGGGGGAAGGAGGCTAGCGTCTTGCGGGAGCATTTTTCTAGACCCTCTAAATGGAAGAGCAGGAAGAAATCCGAGGAGGCGTTGCCATCTCGCTTCGAACTGTGCTGCTTCCAGCTCTCGCATTTCGGCTCTTCTTTCCTGGTGCTTGTTCAGTTTTTGTCTCTTTGGCAAGGGGGCTCTGCCATTTGGTCCACTGCATCCCCTGCTCCTCTCAGAATAATTGGATTGGACGTAAGGACTCGGGGATATAAAACCTGCAGAACAGACTTGCTGGATGCCCCCTGGGGCCCGGCCAGCCTGCAGCTCGTTTTCCAAACACAGCTGGTCCGGGAGGCCCCCGTGGGAAGAAAACAGGACGGCCACCACCGACGCTGAGTGCCTGGTTCCCAGTACCCGCTGGACAAAGTGGCTGCATTCAGCCGGCACGGCGAGGGGCCGCTTCGCCCAGCTTTGCCTTGCCCACAAGCGGCGTGTTTCGTCCGCACGCATGGTTCCCAC